GATACCAATTGCAACAAAAGCAAAATCAGATAAATTGATCATCAGAATTAAAAACTTTGTGCATCAAAGGACACTGTCAACAGACTGAAGAGGAAACCAAGGAAGAGAAGAAAATATTTGCAAATCATACATCTCATAAAGGTTTAATATCCAGAATATATAAATTAGTCCTATAATTCAACAGTAAAAAACAAAAAACAGAAAACAGAAAGCCTCCATTAAAAACATGGGGAAAAGGGGGCACCTGGGCAGCTCAGTCAGTTAAATGTCTGACTTTGGTTCAGATCATGATCTTGGGGTCCTGGGATTGAGCCCCATGTTGGGTTCCCTGCTTATTGGGGAGTCTGCTTCTCCCTCTCCCTCTCCTTCTGCCCCTCCCCTGCACTCGTGTGTGCATGGTCTCTCTCAAATAAATAAATAAATAAAATCTTAAAAGAATATATGGGCAAAAGAAGATACACAATTTGGGGTGCCTGGGTAGCTCAGTTAGTTGAGTGCCTGACTTTTGGTTTTGGCTCAGGTCATGCATGATCTCAGTGTTCTGGGATTGAGCCCCACATGGGGCTCTGCACTCAGCTTGGAGTCAGCTTGAGATTCTCTCCTTCATCCCTTCCCCCACTTCACACTTGCCTTCTCCCTCTCTCTGTCAAATAAATAAATAAAATCTTAACAAAAAGAAGATACAGAATTGGCCAAAAGTACCTAAAAAGATGCTTGATATCACTAATTATTAGGGAAATGCAAATTAAAACTACAATGAAATTGCACTTCACATTCATTAGGATGATATATATATATATATATACATATATATATATATATATGAATTTTAAAGTATTGGTGAGGATGTGGAAACATTGGAACACTTGATGCATTGCTGTGGGGAATATAAAATGGTACAGCTACTGTGAAAAATATTATGGCAGTTCATCAAAAAATTAAACATAGAATTACCGCACTATCCAGCAATTCCTACTTCTAGATATATACTAAAAAAAAAAACTGTAAGTAGGAACAGGGACTCAAATAGATTTTTGTACACTTGTATTTTTTTTTTGTAAAATGTGTACAGTCCTATTAATAGCAACATTATTCACAATAGCCAAGAATTGGAAGCAAACCAAGTGGCCGTCAATGGATGAATAGATAAATAAAATGTACTCTGTACATACAATGGAATATTATTCAGCCTTAAAAACAAGGCAATCTTAATACATGCTACAACATGAATGAACCTTGAGGACATCATGCTAAGTGAAATAAGCCAGTCACAAAAAGACAAGACTGGATGATTATATTTACATGAAATACCTAAACTAGTTAAATTCATGGAGACATAAGATAGAATGGTGGTTGCCAGGAGCTGGGGGGAGAGGGGCATAGGGAATTCATTAAAGTGTATAGTTTCTTTTAAGATTTTATTTACTTATTTGTCAGAGAGAAAGAGAGAGAGCACAAGCTGGGGGAGTGGAAGGCAGAGGAAGAAGCAGGTTCCCCGCTGAGCAAGGAGCCCCATGCAAGACTCAATTCCAGGACCCTGGGATCATGACCTGAGCTGAAGGCAGACGCTTAACCAACTGAGCCACCCAGGCATTCCTAAAGGGTACATTTTCAATCAGGGAAGATGAAAGAGTTCTGGAGATAGTTGATGATGATGGTTGAACAATATGAATGTACTCAATGTCGCCAAATAGTACATTTAAAAATGGTTGAAATGGGGTGCTTAGGTGGCTCAGTTGGTTCAGCACCTGCCTTTGGCTCAGATCATGATCCCAGGGTCCTGGCATTGAGCCTTGAATTAGGGTCTCTGCTCAGCAGAGAGCCTGCTTCTCCCTCTCCCTCTGCCTACCACTTTGCCTATTTGTGCTCCCCCTCTCTCTCTGTCAAATAAATAAATAAAATCTTTTTAAAAATAAATAAAAAAATAAAAGTGGTTGAAATGTCAAATTTCATGTTATTATATTTTACACTTCCCAAAAATACAAATAAAAATATCTTAGACCACGCTGTCTCTAGATAGCGCCTTCAGTCACCCAGTGCTTAGGTTAAACACCTTTTCCTCTCATGTGACCAATAGAGGCTGCCTTGACAGTTGCATGAAAATATTTTATTTATCTTTAAAAGAATCTTTAACTCCTTAATGCTCCTGGAGATCATAAATATAACGTCTTTGTCATGTACAAGTCCACACTAAGATGTGTTTTTAAAATCTTATTGCCACTGTGCCTAAATATTTTTTTATCTGATTTGAGGTGTGATATTTAATGTATATTAATAAGACAAATGTTTTATATACACAGATAGCAAGTTAGTAAATGACTATTTGGTGGGATTAATTCAGGAGTAATATTTACCAGAAGCAGTCTAATCCACATCTCTCTCAATTTAAATGTTCCAGATTTATTTAAAGCATGGCCTCCTTACCCAAAATAATCACTCTCCTTCATTTTACCTACTTGAATTCTCCCCATTCTTTAGGGCCTAGCTAAAGGCAAGTTATTTTACAAAACATTTCCTGACAATCCCAGCCCACATTCATCTTTCTAACTTCTAGTCTCTGTCTAGTCATTTAGCGCTTAGTAACAGACTGCCTTGTATTATTTGCTATCATTTCATGTTTTAGGACCAACTAACATGTACTAAAAAAGGAGCAATTCGGGGGTCTGGATGGCTTGGTCTGTTGAGTGTCTGATTCTTGTTTTCTGCCAAGGTCATGACCAGGTTGGGCTCTGTACTCAGCATGGAGTTTGCTTGAGATTCTTTTCTCTCTCTCTCTGCCTCTCCCCACCAATAAACAAAAAAAGAAACAAACAAATAAATACAATCTTTAAAAAAATTAGCAAATAACCCAACCTGAAAGGACAGCCCAAAATATGGATACAAGGTAGATTCATTGAAACCAAATTGTAAATTTGTTGGTTCTCTTTTAAGTCTAGTGCAGCTCCCTGTGAACATGAGTTCTATATACTACTGATGTGAATTCTTTAATCAGCTAATTCTAAAAACCGGCTTATGGAAGACTGAGAGACTTCCTTTTCTCTCAACCCCCAGCACATGCATGCACACACATACACACAACTATACATAATGGCACACAATATTTCCATGAATAACAACTGTACAGAAGGAAACTGTGGGTGCCAAGGCAAAACATTTTTTGAGTACCCACTATGTGCACTTGGCTAAACCCCGTGAATAAGGAATTCACACCTCTATAGTCAGCTTTAACCTCAATTCAGAGTCTATTACATTGGTGGTTAAGATATGCCTCTGGGCATTGGACTGCTGGGTTAATCCAGGAATTTTTCTCTTGGAGCAGACATGAAATCAAACTGAGAAAAAAAAATATATGAGAGGAGACGGAGGGCAGTTGTCTTCCCCTGCTATTAAAAAACATGTATTTAACAAACTGAAGAAGTTCATCCTTTGTAGTTAAGACTACGTATTATTTTGAGTTCAAATTCTTTCTTTTAATATGTAAGATTTATTGAAATTATACTGTTTGAGCAGAACTGAGAAAGCTGAGTATTATTTCAGGTTTTCAAGCCATAAGGAAAAATAGTGCCTTTAGGTTTTCCATTCAACTAGGAAAATTATAGCTTCATATTTGCAACACTAAAGCTAATGCAGTGTCAGCACCTCCATCAAATTCTGTTGTTCAGCAGTTTATAATTCAAGCAGAAAGTTTCACTCCAAGCTCGAACTTGGCCTTCACAATCCCAAAGCAAATGGAGAAAAAGCTATTTTGGCTAGGGCTGACTTATAAAAGCAAAAGAGAGGGTGCTTATACAGACTATTTTGAAAAACATCTTTCAGAATCTGAGAATGTAACTGAGAATTACTGAGCTGACATCCTTCATTCTTAAAGTTAAAGAAATAACCCCAAATTCCATGATGTCATGTCAGCATCAGCAGAATCTTAGCCACTTTCATGAAATTCTTCATCAGGTAGAATTCCCTATCAGACAGAATTACCTTTCTTAGAGAAAAAAGCAGTACAGTAGAAAATAAGGACAAATAAGACTTTGGATATGTTTTTCCCTTAAGTTCTGATTCTCTAGTGCACTATCCACACACACAGAAGATGAAAAAAGAATTTTTTTTTTCAGTTTTTAACATACATTGGAATGGCAGACTGGAATTCCCAGAATCAGCCTTTCTCCATCTAAATGTTATCTTGGACTCAGAAACAATTAAGTGTAGAAGTGGATCCCTGCAACAGGTGAGAGGAGCTATTTGGCCTCCCCAGTGAACTAAATGTTGGTGGGTGTGAGTGGGGTAGGGAGCTAGTCCGTTGGGGGTGCTGTGCAATTTAAAGTCCTCTGGCAGGTGGGTTACAGACTGCCTGGTTCCTTTTTGCTACCCTACGGATGCCTCTAGCAGCCAATCCATCAGTACTCTGATATCTTAAAATAACTTCAAAATATATCAAAAGTTTGATATCGTGGTATCAGGGCATTGCATAAGAATTTCATCTTTTCTTACCTGCAGAAAGCTCACTTGTATGAAATACGTTGATATCTTAGCTGCTGCATGTCTCTTTTCCTACAGCTTTCAGTGAAGCCCTACTATAGGCCAGGCTACGGGTGAATCAGCAGGATTTCTGTCTTCCAGAAGTCAGGAGGAAGAGAAAAGTTCATAAAGACGGCTCCAGTGTAATTTGGAGTGCCATCTGGGCGACTTCGCAGAAAAGGATCCTGAGGTGTCATGGCTATACCACCTCTATTTCCCACCACTCAGCTTTCTCCACACTTTGAAATCGCACTGATTCACCCGGTATCCCCTTCCTTCTTCCCTCAACGCCCGTTCTCCGCTGATGGGACCCTGGGTCTTTCGTGGGAGGAGCGATCCTTCTGGGGAGAGCGGGATCAAGAACTGTTTTCGGCAGGGGCGACGGTGGCTTCTGGAAGAGAGGGCGAGCCTGGCAGCACCGTCTGGAGGCTCTGGTGGAGCTTTGGCACTGCGGGGGTCAGAAAGGATTTACAGGGCTCGGAGCTCACCTGATTGAAGTGTGCACCGATGATCGAGGGTTCCCATATCTTAGAACTGTTGCTCACAGTCCCGCCTTTCTCTTTCTTGGGTGCCATGCAAAAGACGGGAGGAACATTGGCGTCTAAACTGGGCTCAGGCCTGGAATAAGCGTCCCCGCTGCCTTAGCAACCGAAGCCACGCCCAGTTTCTGAACGACTTCGGTTCCCCTCCCCCAAACCTGCTCTTAATCCACCGGCCAACCGCTTCCGTCTCCATAGCAACCAAACTTCCCAGCGCGGCAACTCTGAGGCGGGACTCCTAGACCCCCTGATTAAATTTTAGGATTTTCCAGCGGCACAACTGTGCAAATGGGAGAGGTCAGGCGGAGGCTGGCCTCGAGCTGGTCTGGTTACTTCCTTTTACTCGCTTGGCCCCTTTGCTGCTTCTTGGAGCCTCTCTGGCCCAAGGCATTGTCTAGAAACTCAAAATCCCTGGAATCCCACCCAGGACTTGGACACCAAGATTTTTTCGACCCTGGACAACCTAGAATGGAGAGCTGATTCCCTCAAGAGACATCCCAGGCCGTTTTCTCACCCATACTAATGGGCTCCGACTGTTTCCTTAATTTGCATATAAGTCCCTCCCAGGGACTTCTAAACAAGTGGGAGCACTTCTCCAAGAGATCCTTTATAAAACTGTAGTTGGGGATTAAGGTCTTTCTAGGTTGTCTTCTCTGCCTAATCAGAGCCAGTTCTCTCAAACTGTCCCTCACTGGTAAGAGGTCTTTCTTCCCCTCCATCCCCTGCCTCCCCAACACTCACCACTACCTAAAGATCCTAAAGATGGTGGTCAGATTCCCCCAAATAATAATGACAGTAATAATACTAATTATAATAACAATAGCTCCTCTTTCACGATCACTGCTATATCCTGTATATAGTTCTATTATTTAATACTTACAACCACCTTCTTGCAAGTCTCACAGTGTGTGACTGATGGCACCAGGGTTAGAATCTGGGATTGTCCGGGTTCGCAAATCCAGTGCACTTAATTAACCTCTACAACAGTTTTAGGACTGCCAAAATGAGAGATGTCACCTTTTGGGGGGCTAGACTTACTTTTGTTTATTTTTTTTATTACAATAAAACTGATTTAAGGTCAGACAGGGCAGAACTCAATCGAAGGTGTTTTGCTCTCAGTACCTGTAAAATGCAATGTCTAACTATTCCCCTGAACCCGGAACTTGCCCAGAGGTGAGATGCTTCAATGATCCCAATGGACCAGGGATTGCTAAGGGGACCCATGTGATCTGCGGCTTAATTTCATTCAGCACAACCTGCCAGCTGACCTTCTACAGGGGAAGATGTTCTAATGCTTTTTGTTGCTTTCTTTGAGGGATAAATTTTGTGTGATGGTCATGGTGATAGCCAGCCACTATCTCACTTCGTTTTGGGGAGGTGGAGTGGGTTTAAAGATGCTGCTGCTTCCCAACTCCTATTCATCATTTGGCCCAACGAAGTGAAAGTTTCTCCTCCTGCCCCAGTTCTTTAATACAGATTATTAAAGAGAAAGCACAATTTCTAGAAATAGTCTTTTCATAGGAAATTTACAAAAAGCATCTACTTTTCCTTTCTTGCTGCAATATGTCTTATTACAATGTGTCTAAATGTTGCATTGTGTCTAAATATGTTATTTGTCTTCTGGGAAGGACTAGATCCATGCAGCCTCGTAGCAAGTCATACCTTGAGGCCCTCTCTTGTCATGAGAATAAAATGTCTGATGCTTAGTGAGCCCAGAGGAATCATGCAGAAAGAGATTTTCCTGAGGGTTTCTACTGCAACTACCTAGGCTGCCACTGATACATTATCATAGAAATTTCTCCAAAATTTTGTTCATCATTAAATTTTTCTTTATTAGATGAAAATTGTTCTTTGGGTTGCAGTTTGAATATAAAGACCAATCACTTTCAGACTAAATATATATATATGTAGTCATTGATTACATCATTCTTCATTTTGATCATAACTCTTCCCATGGGTTTAAACCGTCTGGGAAAAAGGTCTTTCATTTTTACTAGAGAAGCAGTAAAAAGTTTGTTGGCCTTCCAGTTAGATTTTATAAAAAATTTAACTAGATGTTTATGTGTGTCATACTATGTTACTAATTTTCTTTCTTCTTGAATGTGAATGCATATTTCAATATAAAACATTATGGACAATCAGTTCAGCCAAATTGCTAGCAGATGATTAATAAGATGGGTTGCAGATAAGAAAGAGGAATGAACGGAAAAAATGGAATGAGGACAAAAAAGTAAGATTAAGTGTTTTTTTAAAACTGCAGAGAAAGTGTCACTAGCTTCATCTTATAAGTGACAGCTGTCTAACTCCAGTTTTTGCAGCAACAAAATTTTTGTGACATATACTGTGGTAAAAACTGACTAGCTCTTCATCAAACATTTCATTCTCTTTCTTTCTACTGTGAGAGTCAGACAACATTTTTCAGCCTTCCTTATCCTTTGATGGGAACATGTGACTGAGTTCTAGCCAGGGGACATGAGCAGAATGATATATGGGTGCATCCAAGTCTGGCCCTTAAAAATATCTTGCAAGCATTATTCATGCTCTTCCCTGATCTGCCCAGATATTAGGGTGACACGGAAAGCCCTGCATTTCTGAATGATCGCTGTGAGGCAGAGGTACGAAAGTCTCCCTTAGCCCTGAGCGCTACCCTGTTTTCTCCACCAAAGGCATTGCTTGGGACCACTAAGTGCATGAAAAATAGACTTTTATTTTCTGAAGCTACTGAAATATTGGCTTTTGTTATAGCAGCTAGAGTTACCCTAACTACTCTAACATTTTTGATAATTTTCATTTGAGAGTCAGCTTTTATTCTAACAGTAGCTGGCCTTCCCACAATGGCCTGAGAAAACAAGCTCGTCACGAATTTCAAGGAGGCGGGATGCAGGGCTGGCCACTGTGGGAGGCTAAAATGTCCAATCCTTGACCTTCTGGTGACTGTAGTCAGTGGTACCCACCCTCTTTCCACCCTTTACACTGTCCTCCACTTGCTTCTACAGTACATTTTTTCACTTCTTTATCATGTTAATAAATTCCTTAAAGAAGAGGTTTGCATATTAGAGTAATACAATAAATTTGACTGCTTATGTCACATACACCTATGGAGATTTTGCTCATTTTTCAGAAAGCGAACCGTGACCCTTCACTAAGACATCTGTGAACATAAATTATGATCTAGCAAATGATTTAGAAGAATTGAACATTTTAAATGTCAAAAATAGAGATTTCAGGATGGAAGAATGTACTTCCAATATAATCTTTTATAGTTTCCTTCATAAAAATCCTAAAAGAATAAAAGATTTTGTAGAAGACTTTTATGTAGATTTCTTTTAAACCAATTTAGAGAATTTGAAATGAAAGTTTTATGCCTTTTGCCTACTTTTGGCCTATTTCATTATTCTAGGGAAAGTGGCACTATAGATAATTTATGATACAAAAGGGGAAGACATTTTACAGTAACCAAATTTATAGGAGGTTTCGTCATAGAACTGGTCTATTTAATTTCAGAAAATAGGTGTGAATGACAATGGTCATAGTTTTAAGAAGTGAAAGCCATTCCCCCAAAAAGGGACCCTGCCAAGAAGAGAAAAAGAAAAAAAAAAAAAGCATTGCCATCTGTCACACATTTATGCTTTTTTGGTATAATAAATTGTTTCCCCAACTAAATATAAGTTGAAACTTTATAAGCATATTCTTTACTACATAAATTTTCCCATATGTCAGTGGCTAAAACAAAACTAGACTATTTGGAGGATTTTCTTTCTCTTTGGCAGGGTTACTCCTGGCTTGTTTCATTTAATTTTTGCATTTAATACTGTTTTGTTCACCAAAGACTGTCTACTTTTAGGGATGTACTGTTTCTTAAGGATATTATGATTATGGAATAAGTTACTTTGAAAAGCTTTATACTTCAATCTTAGAGTGTTCAGAGAACTCTTATTTAGGCATGAAGTCAAGCATTATTTCTCATACCTGAAAGGATCTAGCCAGTTCCTCATGCATCTAGTGTTCTTAATTGTTGTCAGGTAACATCAGGAGCCATGGACCCATTCATTTCCAGGCCAACATTTCAGGCACTCAAGGAATATTTAGCTAGAACACTCTGCTTGCCTTTGCTGGGAAGTTCTCACAGATGTGTGCTGACTTTTCAGACTGGCATCCTATGTCTAAGAACACTTCTCACAATATGTTTGTTCTATTTACCATCATGAGCCTCGTGCTTCTGACCTTCAAAACAGAATGTTGTAATGCACTGTCCTTGAGTTTTTATTGCGTATGATGCAGAGGGCTTGATCTCTTTCAGCTACAAGTTTCAAAACATATGGAGAATATTACACCTGCATTTTATGGTCAGCATTCGCTTCCTATTCAGTTGTGAGTGCGATTTAAAGTGTTGACTTTAATCTTTAAAGCCCTTCATTGTTTAGAAGTCAGTTATTCCAGATATCACATCTCTCTCTATGCATCATCGTGGCAATTAAAATCAGCTGCAGAGCTCGCAAGTCAGAATCCCCAGTGGATTGTGGGGAGCTTGGGAGTAGATCATTTTCTAAAGAAGAACTTCCCTAAGAACCCTCTGTTTCTGTGAATGATAAAAACAATATTCAAAGTTTACGGTTTTGGCCTGGAATGTCTTGTCATATATCTATAGGTCTCTGGAACCATAATTAAATGATGCTGATTTAATTTTTATTTTATTCCTTGTTATTTGTGGCCAAGAGTTTAGAATACCAAATCTTTTTTAATGAATCAGAAAAATAACAGTTGTGGATATTAAAAATAGAAAAAGTTAAAATTCATCTGTTTCATATTTGTTAGTGTGGGAGTTTTCACTCCAGTATGCTCTCACTCAAGTTTTTCTTTGAATCTAATTTTAAATGTCTTCAGTGAAGGGATTTGCTGTAAATCCTTTGGGGACGGTTTTAAAATCCATAACTCATGGTAAGTCATTTCTCTAAATGCTTAGCTAAATGTTTGATTTCTTAATGTTTTGTCAGATGTCTGTCACTTATAAATTTGTGCTATGTTAAATAATAACT